TGGAAAGGGAGGGCAGGCTGGGTGATGGGGAGTGTAACATTGCTTTTAGAGGTCACTGGAGTTATCTGGCAGGGACAAGCAAGCCCCAGAGTGAGTTTCCAGCGTTTCTCTGGTTCAAACCCAAAGCTTTAGCAGCTTACTTGCTACAGAAATGAAGTCTGGATGGAGCTATGTCTACACCTACAGCAGCATGTGAGGCTGCAGGCATCATCCTCACCAGCTCAGCACCCAGCTGAGCCCCCAATGAGCTGGGAGATGATGGGAAGCACCCACTGTGCCCAGATCACAGGAGATGTCAAACTACACCATGTCACTGGCATATCCAGTGCTGAGGACCAGAGCTGAGGTTGTGCATCTTGACTCACATTTCTGCCAGGCAGTCTCTTGTGCTCCCTCAGTCTTAGCTGCTCTGCTCTGTTAATCCTCCCCTGATCAGGATTTTCAGAGTGGCACTGTGTTATTAAAATGTGTGAAAAACATCTCCCATGCAGAAGTAAATGTGTCAGGTTGGAAACAAGGGCGAGTGGAGGATGGAGATGTGTGGAGGAGGGACAGGCATGGAGGGTCCCTCCCCAGCAGCAGTGTTTCTGCCTTTGTGTTGGGCTGAACTGCATAATATAGCTCACAGTTTAATTACAGGGGCTCTTGCTTGTTGGTGTCATTAATGAGGCATCCAGCTTAATTTAGCTGAATAAAAATGGCTTTAATAGTGGAAACACTTTTAGCTGTTGGGTAATTGAGGGAAGAGAGAACATGCTGTCTCCTTTGCACTGAAGGCCACTTATTCTGGGGTGCACAGATCCAGATTCCTTTTGTCCCATGTCCACTCACCCTTTTTGAAATGTAGGAGGGGGATAGATGGAGGGATAGAGCAAGAACTGAGACTCCACTGTTGCTCAGGGATAACATTCTGCCTTTGTGATCTACGTGAGGTTGCTGGTGGGGATATGGTATGATGAGCCACCTGAAAATCAGGAGGCTTAGGAGCACAGTTGCTGCAGCAGGAGAGTAAGTGGCCTTGAGCCTGAGTCTTGAGTGAGTTGGGTGTCCACTGCCCTCAGCCTGCTCCAGGTGAGGTCCATCCAACCTGCTCTTCCAAACTGACTTCCTTTGAAGCCTGCTCTGGAGGCAAAAAGGCTGCTGGCAGCTCTTTCTAGAGACTGTTTCTGTGGAAAATACCATCTTGTGAGTGAACATGTCCCATGGCAGAGAAGCAGTTTGAACGTGCTCCAGGAGCGCTGATGGCAAGTCTGTCCTGATAGAGACAGGCTCCTGTTTGCTGCTGTGAAATATGTAGGAAAGGCATTTTGCTTCCCTCCCCCTGTGTTTCCTTGATGCATGATGGGCCATATTTATTACAGGTGGACCTGATGCATGGGCTGCTTTAAAGGTTGTCTGGCATCTCTGCTACAGGACTGCCTGCACTGTCCTATAACTCTGCCAAATTTTAATTGTTCAGGCTGAAGTTTTCTGTGTGGTGTGTAAACTCCTGGCTGAATTATTTGTTATTTTTTTTAGTTCTTTCTATTTTCAAATAAAAACCTACTCAAACATTTGAAGTAGTGGAAAGGAGGAGGTGGATGCTCCTGTTGCAGAGCACCTGCACTCTCCTTTTGAGGAGGGGAAAAAACTGTCAAGGGGTAGGTTTTGCATGGAGGGCTCGATTTTGCTCCCTATTTAGGCAGAATAATTCTTGATCCAGTTTGAGGTGAGAAGTTTTGCAAAGGTTATTTGCATCTAGGTGAGAGGAGGAGCTGCAACCCTTGTCGGTATACTGGGGTTGGATGGGAGGATGCAAAGGCAGGGAGTATAATAGATTTGGGCATGGAGGAGGAAATTGTGGATGAGAAACACTTGGCAGTGGCTGGACAGCAATGAGTAGTGTGAGTCAGTATGCTGGGGAGAAGTGGCTGAGTGGGAGTGAAGGTAAATGGATTGGAGAGGTGAGACCTGGCACTGCCCAGCCACAGGCAGAGGAGGATGGGGGTTCAGGTCACTGCAAACCACAGGGATCTGGAGATTTGTGGCTTTGGAAACAGTAGTGGAAGGCAGAACAGGCAGCTGGAGCTAGGAGAGGACTAGTCCTGGCTGGGGAGAGCCTTGATTTTCCCCAATATTCTCCATTTATGCACTAAAAAGTACTGTGAAACTCAGTGAGTGCAGCCAAGGTTCGAGCATGGGGGGAACCTCTCAATGCAGAACAGGAGTTACAAAGTGCTGGAGCTGGATTCACCCATGAAGCTGTAATTTAATCTCCTTGTGTGCATGTACTGCAGTACTGTTTCTAATTACACAATCACATACTGTCTTTCCTGGGAAACCTGCCCCATCCGGTGCATGGATGGATCTATTCTGGAGGGAAATCAGTGCTTTGCAGTGAGGTTGTTCTGTAGGATTTCCAGATCTTCTGTGAAAAAGTCGGCAGAGGTACCCTTTGCACATGGAAACTCAGTCATGGCACCTGACCTTTGGAGTGTTTGGCTTTGTGACAATAATCATGTGTTTTTAATGTGTGTTGATGTGTGCAACCCCTTTCTGTCTTTGTGCTGAGATCAGGGACCTTTGCAAGGGCCCATTGCAAGGACTTTCCTTACATTTTCAAGTGTCCAAGGTGTCTGTTTCCAATGACAAACACATTCCTCTTCCTGTGTGTCCTGGCCAATCTGAAACCGAGCCATGGGTGCATGTCCTCCCTGACTAGCTCTGCAGAAGTCAGTGGTCAGGTTGGACTGGACACTGACTTTGCCCTTTGAGAGCAGAGTCTCCTGCCAGATGTCTGCAAGCGAAGACCCGGCCCCTCTGCCTACTTCTTGCTGTGGTTTGTTGCCTGGGGGGAGGGAGGAGGTGGTAGGAGTGGGTTTCCAGGGACTTTAGGAGACAAGAAGTAGAGCACATCTGGTTGGCAAAGCTCCTTGCATTAGTGAGGATGTTTCCTTTCTCCATCTCTGTGTCCTAAATTGTAATAACACGATCACGCTATTTTTTGATTCCCTTATTTGCGTGGAAAGCCTGTTGTTTTTTCTCTTCTCTTTCAGAATCCAATTTTCTCTTGACATTTCTGCCTAATGTAGCAAAACATGACCTTTGAGAAAGGACATTCCAGCAAGATTCACTCCCTCCTCTGCATTTCTGCTCTCTCCCACATCTTGCTGTCTCTCATGCATCCCCCTTTACGCTTCCCTCTTCTCCCTGGCTTGGGGGAGGGAGTTGACTGTCTTGCTTTTCAGTAGCAGTGAGTTGCTCCTTCCCCTCCTACTTCTCATCTGTCTTTGCAAAGTTTCCAGGTGCTCAGTGCTCCAGGGTGGATAAAAGGAGTTTTGTGATATTTTTTTCTTTCTTCCTGCTTAGCTTCACCTGCTATTTTTGCTGCTTTTCTAAACTTGATTGCAGGCAGTTTGTCTACAGCTGTAGGAATGGTGGGATCTTAGTCATGTGAAGTGAGGCACCCGTGGTTTGCCACCGTTTCCACAGCAGGGTAGTCTGATGTGAAGCAGAGCCAGAATGTAATGATGCAGCCCTGTGCCATCCTGGTGCTTGGGCTTGTTCTTCTGCTAGGAGAGCCTTTGGGACGATGGCTGGAGCAGGAGCTGCAGCAGCTGCCCCACTCACAGTTGCAGGTCTTTGGGCTCTGCAACAACCCTTGGTGGCAAGTGGAACAGGACCGGAGTGGCTTTTTCCCTCCTTGGGCAGCTGGGCTGTGCCCTCTCTGCACTTGCCCAACATGTGCCCTTACCTGACATAAGTCGATAAATGATTCTTTCATCCCAGATCCTCATGCATCAGACCAGATGCCAGAGGCTGCTGGAGCCATTCTGGGATTTATTGACTTAGTTTTGGGTCATTTCTGCAAATCAGACAGGAGCTGTGGGCTGGACTGCTGACTGTCACCTCTGTGCCACCTTGTCCTGCACCTCCTCTCTGGCCAGACAAGAGTTCAGTGGATAACCAAGTGGTTCACGCCTCTGGCCCTTCACTGCTCTTCCCAGCCTGCAGGGCTGAAGCAAGAGGGCACCTGCAGCATGGGCAGCTGGCAAAGGGGAGGGAACTGATGGGAACAGGGCTACATTCAGCAAAGGATGTGAGGTATCATCTCCTGTGGTTTCTGGAGGGCAGCATAGATATGGGAGGATTTGGGTCTCTGCCAGAGGATGTGACCACCCATCCCTCTGCTCCCCCATGGGTTGGTCTCTTGATTGGTGGCTCTCAGAATGACCAGGGTCCTCAGGAAGGCTGCCAGCTATGGGAAGTGTTGTCATTACCATCTTTTCACCCAGGGCTTTTCTCTTTCTCTGTCTTCTCCCCACTTAGTCTGCCCCAACACGTTTATTCTCTTTTTCTTTTAGTATAACTTGAGTTGATTTTATCCTCTTTTGATCCTCTCTGGCTTTCAGCTGCAGAGGAGATGTCTGCTGGGTTGCAAAGCCCTCTCAGGTAGATGAGATTTATGTTTTTGCAAGTTTGGGCAGATGGAGTGAGGGATGGGGAGCTGCTGGCCGCTGTAGCGGTGGGACCCCTGGGTGCAGACAACACACAGCCATGCTGGGACACTTTGAGCTCACAGCTACTGCAGATCATGCAGCAACACCTTGGGTAATCATCATGCTGTCACTTTAACCTGTTACTATTTTTAACACGATGTTTGTGCTCCATTTTTTTTGCTCAAGGTACGTAATTAGACCTGCTCTTTCTGCTCGTGGTTGGTTGAGCTTCAGATTGATGGGCAAGGATAAGACAAGTCTTGCTCTGTTTGAATTTTTTTTTGCACCAAATGGCATGATATCAACTGTGTTCCCCCTTGGAAAAAAAAAAAATAAGGAAAATCAGATGCTTCCATTTGAGTTCATTCTCATGAAAATATCTCATTATGAAATCTAAACTTGGGTCCTTAACTGCTTGACAGCCTCCTGCAAAAGAAGGATGGTGAGCTCTGGGGTGGTGGTAGGGCCATGGGCAGGAGGAATTATTTACTGTGACTTTTTTTCTTCCTTGTTAATTTTCAGAGACCTCTCCGCGAACCGGCTCACCACTCTGTCGTGGCAGCTCTTCCAGACCCTTCGGCTCTTTGAACTGTAAGTCCCACCTGGAGGAATCTCCAGGGAGAAGAGGGGAGGCTGAGTGGAGGAACCATTTCCAAATAGAGCTATTTTTGAAGCCTGTGAATAATTACCTAGAACTCCAGTGGGCAGCACCATCCTTAGGAGGCTTTCATGGGTACGGGAGCATCAGAGCAGAACTGCTTCTCTTTTAACTTCACAGCAGCTGGCTAATTAATGTCGGGATGATGAACAAGCCATGCTTGGAGTAGTAAACGGTTGACTAACTCTGGGAACACACTAGAAATACTTAGTAGGCCAGATCTTGAGTGACTCTTCTCAAATCCTTGTTCCTCCTCCACCGCGGGGTAAGGATAACTGTTTTTCCTTGGCTCATGGATATGCTTTACAAGTCACTCCTACTTTTTAAGCCTCCTTTGCTCTCCAGCTATTTAGGCACCACCCAGTTCCAGTGTTGGAGATGAGATAGTATCTCTCCTGGGGCACTGGTGGCCTTCAGCCTGCTGAATTATTGATAGAGCATTCCATGCTGTGCTTGAAGAGTAAGTGGACATGAAATCAATGGAGCATTGCCCTGATGACCTGTTTTGTTGAATTTTAGAAATAGTTGTTTGGTGGGTATAAAAAAATATATATATGTAGGATTTGTCCCAGAGGATCCTGGGAAGCTCCATTCATCCTCACTGATGATCAATAGAGCTGTAAGGTAGAAGTGACTTATGAAAGAATAAAGACAGTCTTTCAAGTGGGAGTAAGTGTGTTATCACTGATGTTACTGCAGTGTATTTTATTTCTGTCAAATTGTTAAATGAAAAATACTAATAGTGATATTAGAAAATGGAGAAACACCCTTCTGATGGGGAATCTGCTTGCAGAGTTAAAATGCTGAATTTGGAATTAGTCTCCTTGCTGATTACAGCTCCAAATATTTTTCAAGCCTGGCTCTGGTTTCAAGTTTAATAGGATGAGTCATTTGTATTCTTAGACCTTTACTTATTGTCATTGCACTGTCTGGAAAAACTCAGATTGATGGTTGTTACCCAAGAGAGACCCAAGAGTGGAGGAGCAAATGGGGCTGCAGTCCTGAGCTAGAGGCCCTGGCAGGGCCTGGGGTGATCATGAGCCTGCAGATTGATGGGAATACTTCATTGAGGCCCATTTTTATGTGGCTTTGTTTCATTTGGTCATGTTTTTTTCTTCAGGCACATCCCAGGTCTGCCAGCCCAAATTGGGCTTAAAAGATCAATACCAAGCACAAAGGAAATTGAGGTGCTGCTGTTTGGGCAGCAAAGTGCACTTGTTCCCACTTGATGAATAATAGAGTTGGGTTGTCCTGCTGTGGTGATTCTGACAGGGAAGCTGGTGGCTTGGGGTGGCTTTGGTGTCAGCAGAGTCACCTGGGGCCAGTGCTCTGCAGCCTGGCAAACAGGAGGGAGCTGAATTACTTGGCTCTGGTTGGAGCTCTGCTCAGAGTGGTTTTCTTGGAGTTAACAAGCCCTAGTTGATGAAAGAAATGCAGATAGAAATGTGGGAGAAAACAGTAATGCAGAGAGAAAATGTGGATAGAAATGCACAGCCATATCAACCATGGCTGGTTGATAGGAAGGGGTGATGGGGTGGAAAAGCAGCACTGATGTGTGGTGTCCACAGTGTCTTATGGGGAAGCTTCACACCAGGTGAGGCTGGAGGCTGGGCCAGACCTCTCCTGCCACCATGCTGCAAAAGGGGTCTTGGAAACCACCCCCTGGCTCCAGCTCCTGTGATCAGCTTAGACCTACAGATGTGTGTAGCTTCAGGGTCTGGCTTCCTGTTGGCTGGGCTGGAGGAAAAGCCTGGTCAAATGAATTTTTTCTGAAGAATTGTTTTGTCACTTGTGCTTCCTGATGAATGTTCTTCTCTGGCTCCTTATCACTAGGGTCCCTTCATCCTTGTGCACATAGGTAGGGTGGTCAGTACTGGAATAACAGGATTATGCTGTTCCCCAAAGCATAACACAAGAGGGATATTTTAGTTAATATCTGCTGGGACATTGGTGTTAATGGGGCAGGGTGATGTGCCTGGAGTGTCCTCCCTGGAGCTGTGAGAACATCCTGATGAACTTTGGATTTGTTTGGGAGAAAACATCATGGAGGTGTAGCCTGAGTGATGGGCTCTGAATAATCATTCACATAAAGATATTAAGAGTTAAGATAAAGACATATTATCTGCTGTAGGGTGGTCACAGTCCTGAGTGCTAGAAGAATGGGACCTGGTGATGAGGAAAAGCAAAGATGGGGAGAAATTAGTAATAGATGTGCAAAAGTGGGAAATATGGTGGGTTTTTTTCAGAAACAGAGAGGATGGTTGAGTAATGTGCAAAAGTGGGAAATATGGTGGGTTTTTTCAGAAACAGAGAGGATGGTTGAGTAGAAGACAGTTTTTTGGCACACTGGGCTTCAAGGAGACTTGCAAAATCTGGGAAGGAGACAATACATGTCCCACATAAAGTGGTTCTGAAGCACTGGTGAAAGCTAGAAAGGGAGTTGTAGACTGACATTAGCCAAGGACTTGAAGTTGAGCCAGAACACTAGGGAAAGGAACAAGGCAGTGAGCAGCAGAGGTGGGTGCAGAGGCAGCAAACCTGAGGAACCCAGACTGAGCAGCAGCACTTGTGCATGGTTGTGGAGAGGTCACAAGACACTAGAGACACACAGATACTGGCAAGAGTCTGTGCTTCCTGAGAGGGTTAGCTCTACAGGAAAGGTAGGTGGGACAAGCACATGTAGGTCTACAATAGTTCTCCAGAGGCACCTTATATTGAGTACTGGTGTCCCAGTGCTACCAGGCATGTGGGGGTTCAGAGGGAGGACAGTCATGAAAAGCAAAGCTGTGACTTGCAACAAGGCAGCTGGGAGCAGCAGAACATGCTGGAAGGGAAGTGATGAGAGGATTGTCTCCAGGGGAGTGTTGGGAAGAGAGGAACTACAACTGATGGAACATGGAGATTGCCAGGGAACATGAGACTTGACAAAGCCACTCATGGTGAACATGGAGCAGTAAAGAATGAAAGACTAATGGGAAGATCATGCCATGCTACAAGAGTCAGCAGGTGGATGGGAACTTGGGGCTTCAAACAGCTGCCTGGTGGCATTCAGGGCATCACAAGCTCAGGAAGGGGTTATTACTTTAAAGCAGAGTTTTTTCTCTTCAACTGATCCCAGCTTTTCCCCTGCTGACTCACTGAAGAAAGGATGGCAAAAATAAGGCACAGTTCCAAAGAATATTATCTCTTTCTTCTGGCCAGAAGTAAGGCTTGGAATGGTTTCCAGTAACTCCAGCCCTTATTTGCACAGGACAGGTTGACCTTGACCAGCAGGGTTTGGGCCAATGTGTGCACAGCTCTTCCTAAGTCTGAGCTGAATGTGTGCAGGGAAACATCCAACACATGCAACAGTTCATAAACTTTGGACTCAGTCTTTCTCATCCAGAAGTCACAGCTGGTTTCCTCTGTCGTGTCCTTGGCTTCCTTTGTCATGTCCTCAGAGAGCTTAGGGCTGACATTTCAAGAAATCCCTTCCCGGAAAGACCTGAGGCTCTGGATCCAATTACATCTTTGGTTGTACAAACCCTTGTAGTTCTGAGCATCTTGCAGCTCTGCCCAGCCCCTCAGCATTTCTAATGCCAACAGCCCCTGCCAGCTTGCCCTGCAGTGGATTTCTGCAATGCTCCAGCCAGAGGCTTTGGTGGGGATGGGGCATAGCACATATCTGTTAATGTTAGGAGCCCAACTTAACATCATCTGTGCCTCTAGATTAAAAATATTGCTGCCAACAGTCACACTAATAGAGTTGTAGTTAGACACTGGGTACTTGCCTGCTCTCTGCATTAGCTAATCCCACTGTCAGGCATGATGTGTTGCTCCCTGTCTCAGTTCTTCCCTCTTTATTCCATCTCTTTCTGGCAGGGCTTTGGAAAGAATAGTTTTGGCTGGACCCCCAAGAGAAGCCTTGGTTTTGGGAAATAAATAGAAATAGAAAACAATATAGATCTTGTTCTCTCTTTGGGTGCTTTTTGGTTTTCAAACTTAGGAAAACAGTCTCAGTCCTGAGGTAGGAGAGTGTTTTAATTGCAAGTGTGTGAAGCCTTGGCAGCACTTTTATGGGAAGCAAAACAGACACATGGCAAGGATTTCCACTGCCCTCTGAGAGGGTTTAGCTGCAGAGAGCTTTGTTTTAGCTGATGACTGGGGAATTGTGGGACTAGGTGTGTATCTCATTTCACTGTCTAGCCTGAAAACAACCTGCTCCATGTGTGTGAAGTCTTGTTTGTTGTAGTATGTCCTGGGATCTCTCTCCTGCACTGGTCCACCCTGGTGTAGGCTGTCCAGGCAGTTTTGGGAGGCAACAGGTACAGCTTTCTTTGAGGAGTGAAGCTGGGCTTAGCCAGGCACCTGTGGCTCTGACTTGGTGTCTGCATGGCTCCAGGCGTTCAGCTCTGTCATCATCCCCTTAAATGACAGAACATGATTGTCCCTGTTTTGCTCTGTCCCAAACATAAGCCCAAGAGAGTGCCTGCTTTTGTGAAGGGCTGTGCCTGGAGCACACCCTGCTGCAAGCCTGTGCTTCGCCTGGGGCTGGTGGATGACTCTGGCTCATGCAAAAAATATCCTTCAGGTCTACTGGTCCTCTCCAGGAGTAAGCTGTGCCAGATATCTCATGAGAAGGAGCCCCTTGCCTGAACTCTCACTGCAGTGCTACTGCACCTATTTAGCACATGACAGCAGCAAAGACCTCTTGGCTGCCCTGCTGTGCCTTTCAGCACCAGTTTTTGTCCTTCCTGCTGTGATGGGAGATGTCTTTGCAGCACATGGTGGTGCCTTCTGGCCCTACAGTGGGTTTTGGCCAAAGGGCATCTTCTGTTACCCGAGGTGATTCTTCTTCTTGAGGAAAGAGGAAGGAGGAGGTTGCAGGTAGTGGAAGCAGAAGTCATGGCAGGAAGAGTTATCAGGAGCTACAGCTCCTAGTGATGTCTGGGAATATCAATGGCATCTGAGGAGGTTCAGATTTTTAGGAATGTGGAGGACAGTGTGAGCATGGAAATCCCTATGTACTTCTCTAGAGAGCCAGCTGGCATGGAAGGGTGGGCAGCAAGTGAGGAGGAAGGGCATGTCCCATGTGTCAAGAATGCTTTTGCAGTGTGTGTTTTATAAAATGATTGCCTGTTTCCATGTCCCTTCTACCCCTGGTGCGAGGCCAGCTGCTGGTGGCACTTGGCATATCCAGCTAGTGATGGGAGTTAATTTGTGCAAAAGCCCCTCTGAGGGGTCTTGATTCGAGTGAGTTACATCACTGATGCTGGGGCAAGTCGTGGGTAAGTTCTGCACTGGAGCCCCTTGCTTCTGCATTATTCATGGCCCTTCATGAATTAGCAATGGGCAGCAAACGCTGCTGTCGGTTCCTTAGGGAGCTGCCCTGAAGTGCTGGGACAGCAGCTCCTCCCCACCAGCCTCCTTCTGTGAGGATGATTGCAATGGAGCAGAATTTCTCCCCTATTGCCTCTAAGCTCCCTCAGCTCCCTGCCAGGCCCCAAGGTATAACTCTGGTTACCTGCTTTGCTGGTACCTGAGCCCCTGGCTTTTACCCACATCCTGCTGGGTAGCAGTGACCTTGGGAGAATCCCGAGGAGAATGTGGATTCATAGCCATGCTGAAGAAGTTGCAAAGCCTGTGTGAGGCACTGGAAGCAGCTGTCATAGCATGCAGGGAGTACCTCATCATTTGAGTCCCACCAAGTCATTGTGCTAATCTGCTCTGGTGTGTTAAATTTAGTGCTTTGGCCTTTGAGTCACTTGTCTGAGCCTTGTACCTGCCTTGCAAGGGTTTAGGTGCTTTTAATGGGAAAGCAATGAACTAATGAGAAGCTACAGAGTGAAGTTTAACTCTGTGTTTGTTCTTAATAATAAAAAAAAGGTCAGATAGCATCTTTTTCTATGAGAAGATTCAAAGTGGCATCACCAAGGTTCAAGTTTAAGACTCCTGGGTGCTACGAGAAGATTCCTTCTTGTCCCTTCTTTTCTAGTATTATATGGATGAACCAGCAGCTACACATATTTGGAAAGTTGTTTCTAAATCCTGCTAGTTGGTGTAATTAATTTTGTAAAAGCAAGCATGAATTTTGCAGTAACACATGGAACAGACCAGAAAGCCACCTTTCCCCTGTATGGCAGGGGGATCTAGATGTCACGTGAAGCAATGATTTGACCTTTGGAGCTGCTCTTCTGCTTTGGGGTGACTGAACTCACCTTTTGCACTGCTGGTTCCTCTGCTCCCTGCTTTATTTTGCTTCACAGTTAAGTGGGGAGATATTTTGTTTGTTCAGGCTGTATGTCCTGTTTCACTATCATTGCAACCCACACTGGTAACTCAGCCTGTACTGGCTGAGCACTGGATTTTCCTCCCTGTTGGGACCTGCCCTCCCTGTGTCTCCACAGAGAATTGCAGGGCTTTAAACATGTAAATGAAATGGTTAATAGGCTGGAAAATCAATTACAATAAATATTCCTGGTATATAAACTATGTGTAAATGTGTTTTAAATGAAGTACATTAAAGACAGTGCATTTTTTTTCCATTTCTCCTGGCCAGGTCAGCAGGGTCTCAGCACAGAGCTGTCTGATTTGATTAAAATGCATGATACTCTGCCCATTAGCTTGTGTCCTGAGTCATCAGGAGGCTGTTCTTGTACAAGGTGCTTAAGAGAAAAGTCATCAGCTTCCCTGAGTGCTCGTAGGGACTGGAAGGTGTGACTTTCCCAGCAGGGTCTTGGACCCATGCTGAGGTGGGATTTGTAGGCATGACTCAATTTTTTAGGGCAGTGAGGAGCTGCCTGCTGCTTTGCTGAGGGGTGGATGGTTTGGCTGTCTGGACAACATTGCTGTGGAACTAAGCTGCAGATGTGCAGATCTTGCAGTGAAAGATGTAGCATGTACCTGTGTGTTGCCCTGGGAGATGTAAAACCTTGCGTGCGTGTGTGAACGCATGGATGTGTAACTGTGGCCTCTCTTGAGTCAGGAGAGATGTGAACAATGTTAAACCAGATGTGAACCAGGCAAATAAAGTGGAAGAGATTATCCCCTGGCTCAAACAGTCACTCCCCTTGCCACCTACACGATGGCTGTCCTTGGAAAGCCTGGAGCCTGGTGATGGCCCTACTTGTCCTTCCTCACCCCACCATCCTTTCTCACCCTCTCTCTGCCCATAGGAGACTAGAGAGGAACCTTTTTAACTGCAGCTGTGACATCCGCTGGATCCAGCTCTGGCAGGAGAAGGGTGAAGCAAACCTGCAGTACCAGGAGCTCTACTGTATGAACATGGATGCTGCCATCATCTCTCTGCAGGAGATGAATATCACCCAGTGTGGTAAGGTGCAGCCAGGGCTGGGTGTGGAGGAGACCAGGGGAGTGCTGGGAGGGAGCCCTGCCATACCCAGCACCTCTGGTTCAACCAGAGAAACCAGGGGAACCTGGTGCTCACGTGATCCCACTTTGTGGTCAAGTAAAAGATGACTGAAGCTGATTTGGAGTAGTTTATGGATTAAAACCAGGTTATCTGGGTAAATGTGGGTCTGCTGTTACTGTATTCAGGAAAGTATTGGATGATTTGGGACATTTCCTTCCCTGAAATGCTGTGAAGGATGTCACAGCTGCCAGTGTGTGTGTGGTGAGTCTACGTGGTGTCTTGATAAAGGATGTTTCATGTTGCTCTACCTCTGTCTAAAAAATCCTAGAAAGAGCATATCATTAAAAGATGCTGCTACCTTATCTTTCATGGTTATTCTTAAATACATATGTGTTCATTTTCTTTTGTCTTAGTTTTTTTCTGTTGAAAGCCCATGTCTGTAGGGAAGAGGCAGGAGTGACTTTTTGTCTCTTTCCACTTCTTTATGATGTTTAAAAGACCAGTGGCCCCAGGAGCAACATGAGGCATGTTTAATAGTCATCCCTTTACCTTCACCTTGCTCACACATCAGCTGCCTGTTTGGTGTCAATTTTTGCTCTACTATTGATATTATTGGAAAGCATCCCTTGCAGAGTAAGGGGAAGGAGGTGTCTCTTCAGCAGAGCAATTGAACTGTCTGTGTGCAAGCAGCTGTCAAGCTCATGGGCTGAAAGAAGGAAAACCAGAGGTTTTATTTTTCTGATAATTGCCTTCTGTTCTAGGAATTTGGGTTATTTTTTTTTTCTTTCTTATGGCAGTAGCAGACAAGCAGCATGCACTTTTAGATTTGCATGACTTTTTTTTCCTCCCCAAGTTCATGATGTCCCTTTATTAAATTCTGGAAATTGGCCAAACTGTGCCTGCATGTGGATGAACTAAAAAGGTTTGAGAGTGTGCTGTAATTTCCTCCCCACATGGGAAGAATAATCTGCAAGGATTAGAGGAAAAAAAAAACCCACAACCCTAGGGATCAGGGACAGGAGAAGGTGACTCTGTTGACGGTGATATTAAACTGGAGGTGACAGCAGGGTGCTGGTTTGGGAACACGAATGTGATGATGTGCAGGGTGGGCATTGACCTTGCAATCTCTTGGAAGGGCGTTGATCTGCTTTCCTCCAGAGAAAAGTCTTTCTGTTCTGGCATTGAGATGATTCCAGGGATGTTGCAACAACACTCCATTGGTATTTGTCCTTTGTTGCTGAGGGCTGACATAGCTTGGTGTAACCATGTTTGGTATCAGCTCATGCTGGAAAGATGGTGTGTGTCCCTGTTGTTTCCCTCTCTGCTGATTCCTGTCACCTATGCAGCTTTGTCAGGCCTTGACTCCTGCCTCCTTTCTTCTGGCATCCCCTCAAATCAGTGCAATGTTGCTTCCTCCTGATGTACCTCCCTGATGGCAGTGAGAGGATGTGTATCCCTATCCATGACTGTGGGTTGATGTGATGAATGCTGCTGGCCTGTGATGAGAAGGGACTTCTGGCCAGTACCCCCCTACCCAGTTTGCCTCTACAGTGAGCCCAGGAAGCCTCCCCCATGTAAGAAGGCTGTTTGCCCTTCTTGCAACCTGCACTGTCTTGTTTCACGTTGTAAGGGTACTTGGCACCGGTGGCAGCAAGTAAGGAAATGGTGTAAATCAGAGCCACCATAAATCAGTGAATCTCTGCTACCACCAAGGAAGAACAAGGGCACCTTTTATTAGAGAGCTGCAGTTAATATGAGGACACATCCTTGGTCATCTCTTGATTGTTATAAATTAGAGGGACACTATCCTTGCCCAGAGTGCTGGGCACTCTGTGCTTTGTCCCTGGAGGTGGTAACACTTTGGATCCTCTCCCAGCACATGCAGTGTTCCTGTCCCAGGCGACTGCCCTCAAGAGCAGCTTCTGTGGGAGTAGAAGAGATGGAGAAGGGGGGGTGTTGTGTGAAGAGTAAAGCAGCCAGAACTGGACACCAGTTTGAATCTGAGTGTGATGGGAGTCTCTGTTCAAGTGGCATATCTCCAGCATCCACACTTTCCCTCATCTTCATGCCATTACGTCCTGCTGCTTATCCCTGGGTGCTGGAGGCTGATTTTGGGAAACAGCTGGGCAGAATCTGGGTCCACGTGTGTGCACCCTGCAGCTGGCTGTAGCAAGGGCTGCTCCACACCTGAGCACCTTGGTGTCTGGCTCTTCTAGACCTCCCTGAGATCAGCGTGAGCCACGTGAACCTGACGGTGCGGGAAGGGGAGAACGCTGTCATCACCTGCAACGGCTCGGGCTCGCCCCTGCCCGA